GGGGTTCTCTGGACATTGAATTTTAGTGGAGTTTAACATTAAAGTCATTTAAATGTTTTTGTTACCCAAAATTAACTTTCTTTATGTTTTAGGGTTGGTGGAAATTAGGTGTATTTTCAATGACTTGACCCATGAAAAATTTTTCAAGGGCTTTCTGGTCATATTAAACCTTCCAAAATTTTCTTAGAATTTTCTTAGCAACATACTAATTATCATGATTAATTTATGCAAATATTAGACATAAACTTGAAAAATATGGATCTCTATTTAGAGACATCCTCTGACCATGGATCTCTCTCTAGAGACATCCTCTGACTTTGGAAAAATAAAAGGATGTTCTCTAAGACAGAGGCAATAACATGCTAAAATTTCAAGTCATTGAGATATGCCTACATGCATGGAGAATTAAAATACTCAAAACAGTGTTTAATTAATTAAAAATATAATATGCATCAAATGGACTTCAAACTATTTCCACATTATTCTTCTCTGTTAATTGAATAAGAGGGTATTTTTATTTTATTTTTGTGATTTCTCTACACCATGATATGAATTTTTAAAGTTAGGGATCATTTTTTGATTTTTTTAATTCCTTATTTATCTATTTTAATGTGCGGCGCCTCATCATCCTACGACGGCTCTGAAACTCCACGCGGCGCACTCCTATTCGATGCCGCCGTCCATGCCAGCTGCTAACTCGGCCCTTTGTTCACGCACGAAGCTTTTGTCCGGCTTGTTCTTGTCCGTTGATGAGATAAACAAGCGATCAGACGACTCCCCGTCATCGTCCCTGATAGAATGAACACGTGACCGTCCACACTAAAACCCTAAGATATCTCTCATTTCTCAACAAAATTAAGTGCGGTTTATTTCTAAATGCTCGTATAAGTGTGGCAAACACATCCATATGGTAATCATGCAATTAAATTAAGCCTAATCAAATGGAGAATTGAAATATGCTCGGGAGGAAGAGGAGATCAATACTTTGGCTCTGAGAAGGATAGCTTCGATCAGAGGTGCTCTACAAGTTTGTTGGGGTCCAAGGAGGTTAGGGATTGAACCTCTTACTGTGGTGTAGGTCCAAGTATGAATTCGACCAAGCTTGATTTTGGGTGTTGGTCTAGAGCTATGTTAGGGGCTCTGTGGAAGGGGGATTTGATGGGGCTTCTCCTCCTCTCACTGTGGTGAAGGTGTGGGTGAGTTTAATTTGAGTTTGGTGGAGTGTAGAGGTGCGGAGAGCGGAGAGCTTTGTCCTGTCTCCGGTCCTGTCTCCGACAAGGTTTTGAGCTCAAAAATTGGGCTCTGGCAAGGGTATTCAGGGCAATGTGGTGATTGGATTGCACTGAGGAGGTCTCAAAGAGTCTCTGTGGGTAATTTGGAGGGATCTCTCTGATAAAATTTCAACACCACCTCCATGGCTTTGGAGGGGAGCTTTTTATAAAAATGGCTTAAGCCTTGTTGTCATGGCCAATTGGGGGGGGGGGGGGGGGGGGGGGGTGAAATGTGCGACCTAGGTGGAGGGCAGAGAGGCTTTAAGCTTCAATTTGGGTGAGGTGGCCTCTAAGTTTGAATTGGGTTTAACCCATGGGGATGGCTCTCAGTTTGGCCATTTTCAGGCCACTAGGCCAGTTGGCCGGCCAGGGGAGGTGGCCAGAGAGGTCAGGTGAGCCAGGGGAATATGTCACAATAATTAAATGTGTTTGTGGTTATTTTTGGCAAAAATATCTTGATCTTAAGCAATTATGACATTAAATCCCATGATTTTGCGGTCCTTTGGTCCATGTCTTAGCTTAAGTGGTTCTATGGAGTTTAGTTTGGTCATTAGAGTCCAACTAATGACTATAAAGTCATTAATTTAGTGACTTTGGGTAGGTAAGCCATCTTTAGTGCATGTGTTCAATGTAGGTTCAAATGACCAAAGCTTGGGTTTGGGTTAGGCTAGCCATGTCAATTCACCCAATTGATTGATTAATGTTGTGTGGATGATTGTAATGAAGATTTTTGGTAAAGGGTTGAAGTGATTTTGAGTTCAATTGGAGGGTCAATTTGGAAGATTTTTGAAATTTGGTCATGAAATTTGGTCAATTTTTGAAATTTGGTCAATTTGGGCATGTTGGGCTAGACCTGGGCCTAGATTGGGCTAGCCTTGGGCTAAGTCCAAATTGAATGATCCAAATGATCAAAAGTGATATTGTGAAGATTTTCATAAAGGAATAGAGTGGAAATTTTGGGGTTAAGGCCATCAATTTGGTGAAATTTGGGGATATGGCCAAATTTAGGGTCCCAAGGGTATCGAGGTAATTTAGGGTAGTTTAGGGGCAAAAGGCTAGGTTGGGCACTTTGATAGGGTTGGGATGTCAACCATCATTAATAAGCCATGGACTAATGGAAACCCCATTTTGAGTCCTCTATGCACTGGTCTTAACTAAACCCTAGTCTAGGGCCAGTGGGTTTAAGGGACCACCTACATGAGTCTCCCAAAAGTATCAAGGGACCAAAGTTAAGAAATTTCAGACTTAGGGTTGTGAGAGAGAGTGAGTGCAGGTGAGTGCCTTAGCCCTAGACCAACACCCTGGGTCAACCCTAAGGTCCAGTAGTCCTAAGGGGACTCTCGTTGAGCTTCCTAATAATGACCCTACCTACTAAGTGCTAGAGGTTAGGACCATTATGTGAAACTTTAAGTTGAGTAAAGAAGAGTCTGGAATTTCTAATGTCCTTTTCTAGTTTTCTAGGAATAGTCAATAGGAAATTCCTATGGCTAGACCCTAGTCTACTAAAGAGGAAACACTAAACCTCAACCAAAAGTGAGATCAACAAATGCACCCCCAATAGGTGTGGTGTGCTGAGCAAGCACACCGCACGTATTGGAGTTGACCGACGAGATCAACAAAACCAACACAAACTTCTAAGTCGACAGACGTAGAAAGGAGTGTAGAATTGTGTATGTTATTTGTTTCTGCTGGGGCAATAAACAGGTGCATATTTGATCAAAGTTAAGAAGTGGGGACTCTCGCTGGGGATTGGAGAGTGAATTTTAAGTTATAAAAATCTCAGGTATTTATAAAGGATGGGAATCAACATGTAAGTGCTGACCCTGAAGTGGGAATTGAAATTTAGGTATCAACTACGAAAAGAGAGTCAGAATTTAGGTACCGACCTCAAAAGATGGGAATCAGAATTTAGGCACTGATTCTGAAATGAGTATTGAAATTTAGGTATCAATCCCAAAAAGGATAGTCAAGATTTAGGTACGTAGGTACCAACCTCGAAGGATGGGAATCAGAATTTAGGCACTGATCCTAAAAGTGAGAATTGAAATGTAGTATCAATTGTCAAAAGAGAGTCGAAATGTAGGGACTGACCTCGAAAGGTGGGAATCGGAACTTAGGCAGTGATTACAAAATGAGATATGAAATTTAGGTATCAATCCCAGAAAGAGAGTCAGAATGTAGGTATCAACCTAGAAAGGTGGGAATTGGAACTTAGGCAATGATTCCAAAGTGAGAATTGAAATTTAGGTATCAATCTCAGAAAGAGAGTTAGAATGTAGGTACCGATCTTGAAAGGTGGGAATCAGAATTCAGGAATGATTTGAAAATGAGAATTGAAATGTAGTATCAATTCTCAAAAGAGAGTCGAAATGTAGGGACCAACCTCAAAGGTAATGAATCAGAAATGTAAGACTAATTCAAAAGTGAGAATTGAAATGTAGTATCAATTCAGTATCAATTCTCAAAATGTAGGGATCGACCGGATGTAAGGATCGACCTCAAAGGTAATGAATCAGAAATGTAGGACTGATTTGAAAGTGAGAATTGAAATGTAGTATCAATTTTTAAAAGAGAGTTAGAATGTAGGGACCGACCTCAAAGGTAATGAATCAGAAATGTAGGACTAATTTGAAAGTGAGAATTGAAATGTAGTATCAATTCTCAAAAGAGAGTCGGAATGTAGGGACCAACCTCAAAGGTAATGAATAAGAAATATAGGACTGATTCGAAAGTGAGAATTGAAATGTAGGGCAATTCTCAAAAGAATCAATTCTCAAAATAGAGCCTGAATGTAAGGACCAACCTCGAAGGTAATGAATTAGAAAGGTAGGACTGATTCGAAAGTGAGAATTGAAATGTAGTATCAATTCTCAAAAGAGAGTCAGAATGTAGGGACCGACCTGAAAGGAATGAATCAGAAATGTAGGACTGATTCGAAAGTGAGAATTGAAACTTAACAAACAGTTTGTGGTGTTGAGCCCAAAAATATGTATCATGTGAAAAGGTTGACATTTTTGAGGAAGATATGTAGAATATTGTGGGGCTTTGTGCAGAATGTGAAATTTTGCGGGGATGCGAAGAGATTTAATGCAGATAAAGATAGTTGTGTTGCACGAGCAAAGAGTAAGAGACCTCAAAATTGAGAGAATCCACTCCACAAATTTATTTTCTTTTCTTGTTGTTTTTATCATGTTAGTTTTCAAAACATGTTTTCAAAATTTTAATTTTAGTTGGTTTATTTTCAAAAGAAAATTTTATTATTATTAAAAATTTGTTGTTTCGTTCTTTGTTCATTGTAATTTCAAACCAACGTGTGGTTCATGGTTTTCATCCATCGCACAAAAGGGGAAATCAACAAAAAGACACATTTCTAAAAGAAATTTCATTAATTTTTCATCCATCGCACAAAAGGAAATCGACAAAAAGACACATTTCTAAAAGAAATTTCATTAATCTGTCCCAACAAAATTTTACAGATCAAGTGTAGGCTAATGCCTCAAAAAGTATAATATGCCATCTGTTTCAAAGTACATCCAAAGTGTCTCATGCCAAGTATACATTGTAGGCTGAGCATCTCTGACACATATCACATTGCTGTACTATAGAAAAGTAGAAAAGGAATCCCTTGACTGTTCGTTCCTGTTGTGATGAGCTCCTGATCGAGCTAACCTTCTAAGCCACGCTACAGAAGAAGAATTCCCTTTGCATGTGCTTAGAGGTGCAACCCTCTCATAGCTTGTAAGGTAGTAGTTCTTCCAGTTTCGGATCCAGCTGAAACCCATACGACATTTTGTCATCATCCATCCGTCGAAAGGTCACGGACACTCTGCGGTGTCGCACTCCTAGGATGCAATGTCTGACAACGTCTGCACCGTTACCTTTAAGAACAAGCACTGAGCCAACTGGTAAGGGAATCTCCACAGAGCCTCTGAACTCACCCAGGCCGATGATGTTGATCTCCTTCCAAAACAAGATGTTGCTCTTACTCATAAATGAAACTATACAGAAAGGCCTTACAAAATCATGGTGGTCTATGTGTGGAGAGATGCAGTCACCCTCATCGTGGATGTTGATGCAACAACTGTTTGGAATGTAGGTAGTGGGCAGAATACCCCATCTGACCATCCTTTTGATCATCCATTTTATCATGGGAGGCAGTGGATCTACTTGGTCATGTGGAGGATTCCCGGCAGATTGCCTTGTTTGTCATTTGTAAAGTTATAGCAACAACCACACTAGACGGTGATCCTCCCTTTTCCTCTCATCCATTTTCTTGGCTCAGAATTGGTCTTCTCCATAAGCAGAACTACTTGAACTCTGACTCTTAGGTCAAAAATACAGTCAAGGATACTCTGCTCATCAGTCTCTGAGAAGACTCTGGTATATAGTTCTAATCCTTCCAGTATATTGATGAATTTTCCCTATACCTCTTCATAGAATTCAAAGTTTCTCTTATTCACTTTGCTTATTTTGTAGTAATCCATTGTAATGGGAGTCGATAGTTGTCATGGGTACTCCCTCATTCGAACATCAGCAGCAAGCTGGTGCTGGCTCTGTCGGAGCGTGTGACTCGGCATCTAAAAGAATGTATGACTCTGGACTCCATGGGTCATGGTGGTCTATCCCCAGTGGGACATATGGCTCATCCATTAAAAAATCTGCGGTCTGAAATCCCTTGGTGGTAGATGTATACTCCTCCAATGTGCTGTAACACTGTAGATGTAGGAAGTTGCAATCTGGGCATTCCAGAAATGCCCCCGTGGCTGGTGCTTGTGCAGGTATTTCGGTGTTGCAAGTCGGACAACCCGTGCACAGGACATCTGAAGCTGATGGTATTTCTGGTCTTGTAACAAACTCTGATTCTTCATCCATAGCGGGCTGACTAGAGGAAATCTCTTTCGTGCCCGGATCATAAATGTGTCCTTCAGGGATGGAAGTGAGCAAGTTGTTCGCTTCTTTCTGGCATCTTTTCTCCTCTTGCAAGAAGGCTCTCTGTCTTCGTCGGCTGGCGTTTCTCCGCTGTGTTCTTCGTAGTGAAGCAAATGGTATGTTTTCATCATCAACAACAACTAGGCCTCCGGTCAGCGTAGCCATCATGGATGGCAGGCGGCTAGGCCCCTCCATGGGGTCTTGTTGTACTATCACGTTCATCCCTTTGAGTGATGCATTGTCTTTGGTGGCGTCCCTTAGTAGTGAAGGCAGCCCCTCTATTTCTCGGCAGCTGACCACGTTCATTAGAGGACCTTTGTAGTCCATATCGACTTGATTGAAGTCCATGTCAAAATCTATGGTGCCAGCTTGCGGCGCCATTTTATCATTTAGTGTGAGGCTCCAGCCATCCTTGAAGGCGAAGATCAGCTTCTGGCCAGACATTTCTCTGCAGACGACAGAAAAAATGTCAGGGAGCTGAAACTTGGCGTGAATAAGAACAAAACAAAATATTTATTAAGGTAAATTTTAGTTTATTTTGGTGAAGAGAATTGTTTATTTGTGTGTAAATTTTATTTAATTTAGTAGAATATTAGGTTCAAAGGTAGAAAAAAGAGAATTTGAAATGTAATTTTTCTAAAAAAATTTCATTATATTGAGGTTAACTTTAATACAAAAGATTTCAGACCCGGTCACAGACATTTTGCCACATAGATAACTCCAAAATAGTCAAAGTTTCAAAAATTAAATCAAGCAAAAGCAAGCAGCATCTGGTTGCGTAATATGTTTTCAGGTATCGTTCATTGATTGGTAGCATGGGTCTTTCGCCCTGGAAGTACACCAACTTATTAAGTGGTAGTCTCCTCCAGCGTAGACCTTTTCAACGACAAATGGTCCCTCTCAAGTTGGCTCAAATTTTCCACCTATATTGCGGTGTGCATTGCGGTGTGCAAGAATCACAAGTACAAGATCACCAATTTTGAATGTCCTTGGGCGGACCAATTTATCATGGGCTTGTATCATCTTTGCTTGGTAAAGTTCTAAATGTTGTTGTGCTTCAAGTCGTTTTCACTCAAGACTCTCCAATTCTTCAAGTGTGAGTTTTGTACTTTCCTCTGTTGTAAGCTGGTTGGCAACAACGACTCTGAGAGACGGCATCTGAATTTCTAATGGTAGCACGACCTTAGACCCATACACGAGCATGTAGGGTGTACATTGAGTGGGAGTCCTGAGCGTCGTCCAGTAGGCCCACAAGGCTTCTAATAGTGTGTTGTGCCAATCCCTTTTATTTTTGTCGAGTGTTTTCTTTAAAATATGTATCAGTGTCTTATTGAAGGCTTCAGCCAGACCATTTTCTCTGGGATAGTAGATTGTATAGTATCTCCAATCTATTCTGTGTCTTTTGACAAAATTGTTGATTTTGTGCTTTTAAAGCTATCCCATTGTCGGAAATTATTCTTCGCGGTACGCCGAAACGGTAGACGATTTGGCTCTTGAAGAATTGAAGGACGTGTTGTGCAGTAACCTCACGTAACGGTATTGCCTCTGCCGATTTGGAGAAGTAATCAGTAGCGGAAAGTATAAATCTGTGTCCTTTGGAAGATGGAGGGCTATCGAACCTAATATGTCCGTGCCCTAACACTTGAATGGCCACAGACAACAGTTGTATGTAGCACTTTCAAGGGTTGGTGTAAGACTACCCCATGCACTTGACATTGGTGACACTTTCTGGTTACATCCATGCAATCAGACATCATTGCCGACCAATAATATCTGAGTCTTTTGATCTTCATTTTCATCTTCGGCCTTAACTGGTGAGCGCCACACAATTCGACATGTACTTCTTTGACAATATTTTGTGTTTTGGCTCTGCTCTGCTTAAACATTGTAGCCACATTAGCCACATATGGTCGAACGATCTTTTGTAAAGAACGTCACCCACTAGAGCGTAATACATGGCCCTTCTTGTGATGTAATGTGCTTCAAGCTTGTCGTCTGACAGCTTTCCAGTATGCAAATATTCTATTAATGGCTTGCGCCAATCTTCGTTGATGTCAGCAACTGCATTTATCGTTTCTTCTTTTTCGAGCTTATGTAAGGTTTTGAGGTGGATTTGAGTCAAGACATATCTTCCTTATACGGTGATTTCAATGAAATTCTTCAGAGGACATGCCAATTCCTTAGTGAGTTTTGCTTGAGCGTCGGCATGACCATTATCTCCCCTAGGAATCAGGTAGAAAGTCACATTGGGGATTTGCTCCAGCAGCTTCATCGTGTACTGATGGTATTCTGCTAGTCGTGGTTTCAAAATTTTGTATTGTCCGATGACTTGCTGGATGACGAGCTGAGAGTCGCCATAGATAGCAATGTTTGTTATGTCCATTAAGATTTCCAATTCCAATCCGGTGATCAAAGCTTCATGCTCTACTTCATTGTTGGTGCACGGCTCTGTTAGGTGGTATGAGAACCTTAACATACCCTTATCTGGCGTGATAAATATCAAACTGATCCATGCTTTGCCTGGTATAACAATGACTGATTCTTTGTTTTTCCTAGCTGACGAAGCACCGTCGAAGTACATCTCCCAACATTGCTCACTGGAGAATTCCATTTGTAATATTTGTTCGTCTGGTAATTCATTGTTGAGAGGGGACCCAGCTGGCAGTGGGTGTGCAGCGATAAAGTCTGCTAGTATCTGTCCTTTGATAGCACGGAGGGGAACAAAAGTTATATCAAATTGCAATAAGATCATTGA